GTGCTGGGGACTGAACTCAGGTTAGCACATGCTAAGCATGTGCTCTACCACTGAACTACACCCCTATCCCCATAGTTCAATTTTTAATAATAGCTGTTTGTAACAACTGGATTTTAAGTTTCCTAAAAGCAGGTGTTATTATCTGTTTTACAGATGAGAAAATTTTGCTTCAGAGAGGTCATCTTATTCTTCATTACACAAACAGTAAGTGGAAGAGCCAAGACTTAAAACACACCTGCCTAATTCCAGAAACTATGCCTTGAACCACTCTGAGAGAGTTTTCCAGAGTGGGTTTCAAGGAGCTACTAGATTGTCAGATGACTGAACTAGAAGTTCTGTACACAATGGCATGGAAAACACACACACACACACACACACACACACACAGTAGGTATTTGTGCCTGCTGCAAGTTTGGTCAACTGCTTCCACCAAGGATGTTCACCAGTGAGTAGAATGTGACTAGACAGATGCTATTTGTTGCATGTCATAGAGTTTTAGAAAAGGGTCTTGGTGGGAAAAGTCACAATTAGTAGCAAAAAATGCAGGTTAGGAACTATCTGTGCACCTTATTTGTTTTATCCTTCCTTTCTGGGGCCCACATTCTGAATTCATTCCTCTCATCCCCAAGAAAATGCCTTTGACTGTTCCAAACCTTAAGACTCCCCCATGCTGATCCTTACCCCTGAAAACATAAAGGATTAAAGACTAATAGGAGAAAAATGATGCTTTACCACATTTTAATTCAAAATGTTACCTCTGCCATCTTGCTGGACACATCTAGCACTAAACAGACCACCTTGTCACTGGCCTGTGTAACAGTGAAAGTGGGAGGAGGTGGAAGCTCAGAACCCTTCCAGGGAAGGCTGCCTTTGAAGTCAGCAGAGTCTGCCATCACATCCCACGCACTTCTGAGGCTGCAAATTTGGTTCTGTAGGTTTGGAGCTTCTTGGTTGTGAGTACTTGCATTACAGAATTCAACTACCTGGAAAAAGAAGAGTCCATCAGAGAGTAAACCTCCTCCCAGACCCAACACACTTCTCATTTTCCAGCAACTCCAGGTGAAAGAAAGGGTAAGCTGAAGGAGAGGGAATCAGAAGTACCTCAGTCAGAGACTTCTTCCTTTAAAAAATGACATCAAGCTTACAAACCAACTATGGTACCCTTTGTTTGATACACTAGCACCCTTGTGGTACTGACAGCAATCTCTTAAAGCTTATTTGCACTTAAATAACAGAGAGAAGACAGTATGTATAGCTCACTCTTAGAAAAATAAAACAATCTCCCTCCCTATTTTAGCATGATATTATGTTAAGGAAACACCCTAGGAGATATTATCTTGACCAACCTATCCATTGGAATCATATTAAATGACAACTGCACCTTGATCTTGTGCAAATATTGATCCTGTAAGAATAGGATAAAGGGAAAACCTTAAATCTACTTCCTGACACATACCTCCCTTTTAGAATTTTTTTTTTTTGGTGGTGGTGCTAGAGATTGGACCTTGTGCATGCTAGTCAAGGACTCTACCAAGAAATATAGTTTTAATTCATTTATTAGTAATAAACCAATGTCAAAATCCCACTTAAATGTATGGTTTGCATTGAAAAGTAATATTTTACCATCTATTCCCAGTGGTTATATTCCTATGAGTAGACAAATACCTCCTGCTAACAGAGCCATGGGAGCTTAGAGCTAAAAGGAACTTTATAGACCCTAGTAGTTCTATCTCTAATTTATACAAGAGAAAGCTGAGTAGGATGGGTGTCAGGAGCAGAATCTGTTTTGTTCATTTAGGTCTTTTCCCTATATTTCATGACTATGATTAGGAGATTGTGGAACTTTTTTCACCGGATATTTTTGAGTAAGCCCTTCAAAGGATTACAAAGAGTATACAAAGTCACAAAGAATAGGGAGCAAATACCTAAAATTATGTTGGCTTCAACATTAAAACTATAAATTTAAAACATAATGGATAGGACAAGAAATATGAAAAATCATCTTAGTTACAAATGACTCCTTACCTTGACTAGAACCAAGCTGAGGGGAAAAAGTTAACTAAAAGGAAAGCAAGAAATGTTTAAATACAAGAGGCATTGGTCAGCCACAGAAATATAGAGAAAATTCCACAAAGCTATGTGTCCACAGTGTTCCCAGCCCCATGGAGAAATGACCGCCAGACTGACTTTCAGATCTGTGTGAAGTTGGATAGTACATCAGGTCACGAAGGTTGATTCCACTGCTAAGCAACTTAGCAAGACCTTGTCTCAAGGCATAAAATAAAAGACTATGGATGTGGCTTAGTGGTAAAGCACTCCTGGGTTCAATATCCTTAGGACCAAAAAAAAAAAAAAGCATACAGGAGCACCACCAAATAAGCATTTATTTTGTGGTCTCCAGGGTCCCCTTGTTGTCTTACTTTCCTGGGAAGCAAATTATCACATTTGTAAAGAAATCTTTATTTGGTGATCATTTTGGAAGGCCTTAGTTTTTAAGTATTTAAAATATACACGACTATCTTGGGAAGAGATGGAAGCTTAGAGGAGTTTGTCATTTCAAGGACATACTTACAGAAGATAAACTTTGCATAAACATTATTGATGCAGTTGCATTTTGAGTGCTGTTGTAGATAAACACACATCCTTCTTTGAAAAGCTTACTAATAATGCAGTTTTCTTGGGGGCAAGGGCCTTTTTCACACACAAAAATGCCTGTGATGTCAGATGAACATCTGAAAATGAAAAAAAAAAACTGGGCATTGGTTCTTTTGTAGAAGTACTTATGTTACTTCTTGACTAGCTTATATAATAAATTGTTTCAAGGATTAGAGCTTGCTAGATACACATAAACATTTTAAAACTGCTCTACTAAGAAAGCTCATCAATTTAGAAATGCACTTCACTTTATTTTAAAACATGAGTCTTGATGAAAGTGTTCTGTATTAGCAAAGGTTTTAACCAATTAGAGTCAAAGCAAAAGTTACTAGGAAACCTAGAGGAATTTTAGGAGACCCAAAGAAGGGCATGAAGAGCAATAGCTGTGGCAGTGCTGCTTTGGGTTTGGGTCCACTGAACATCAGAGAAAGAAGAGAATGGGGATGTAATGATGATACTTAAAAGGATTCCTTCCTCAATAAACAACCTCAAGTCTTGTTGATGGGAGTGAAAAACATTGCCACTTTGAGGAGAGGATTCAGTGAGCATCACAGTTGAGGGTACCCTCAGACCCAGTATTTCTGAGAGGAATTCAACAGACATAGAGATTAGCCTGCATGCATGAGAAATGGCATATGGATAATACCTGCATTGTTATTGGGAATAACCAAAAATAGAGATAATTTTATGTGTCCAACAGGAGGGAACTGGTTGAATAAATTATGGTATATCCACACAATGAAATTATTTAAAACGGGTTGAGGAAAAAATATATACTCATATATTTATTTGAATTTTCCTGAAGAAATACTGAAAAGAAATAAGAAACTAATCAACATGGTTACTTAGAGTGGATGTGAGGAAACAGAATGAAGATAGTGTTGGGAGTGAGACTGCTAAAAGGTTAATTTTTTTTGTTGTTTTGACATATGAACCACATAAAAATTTACCTGTTTTTATTAAAGTGCAACAAGATTTGAAAACAAAAAATGGAAGGATCTCTTCCTTGCTAATTTTTAGTTGCCAGTATAAACTTAATTTTATTCTTATTTTTAATTTTTTATATCACATAATGTTAAAATCAGAATAAAATAAAAATGAAATAATAACATTTATTATTTCTTCATAGTGAAGATTTCATTAATTTTAGAGTCAAATAATAAATTTTAAACATGAGAAAAAGTACTAACCTTGTAACTTTAATTTGATTTTGTCCATTTATATAGAAAGGTTTGTCATTATTATATTCATCAAACACACCCCAACGGAGATGGGCCCATTCATGGACAAACACTCTGCCTGTGGAAGACAGAACTTTTACCTTTGAGCTCCCAAAAATCTGAGCCATGGGCCTTACTAATGAGTGAATATGTTATATCCCTCAATTCTACACCTCTGTCTAAGTCCTCTCCTCCCCTCCACTCCCATCTCTTCCTACCCCACCTCCAACCATCATAAAAAAAAAAGGCAGAATGGAAATATATTTGTCCTGTAAATGCAAACCAGTGATTTGCTTATTGTAGATCTTCAAGAAGCTAATGGTGAATCCCACATCCTCTCATTTTCTCGATGAAGCTATCTAACAGGTTTCTATTTAGCTTTATGGAGACCTATAATTTGGGGTTTGGGGAAAGGGGAGAAGTATATTCTAGCGAGCAAACAAACTTCCTAATCTCTAGTCTGTGCTATTCAAGTGTGCCTGCTTTTTTCCTTGCAGGTAATTCTCTTATCTACAGCAATGACTGAAACCTAGGAGCCAGGGAGGAAGTAGGGAACAAAAAACAAGAGCACACAATCCTCTTTGCAGCTTTCATGTCCCTTTCTCTTTTATTTCATTCATATTTTCCATTTTTTGTGTTTATTTCCAACTCAGTTCATGGAAGCCCCATCTTCAGCATCAAATCCTTTATAACTTTACCTTTCTGACTCACATTTCCTTCAGATCAGAACTTACTTCTTTCTCCCAGAAATTGTCCAGGTGAACTCCACTCCCAAAACACACATTTTTATTTTTTTGAATCACTGTAAGTTCTGGGAACTCAGAAAGTACTTGCTGAGTTGGCTCAGGTTGTGGCATGGTGTGCAATTTTGGATCTGGAGACAGAGGGAAGGAGGAAAATGGCCCCAGCTGAGAGTTAGGGAAGATGTGTTCCTACTCATGGAATTTAGGAGTGCTAAAGATACATAGCAGTGCAGAGGTAATCTGCATCTTGTGGTTGCCCGAGGAAGAAAAGAATATTTATGAATTTTTTTGCTTGTTTAAAAATATAGTTTATATGCACACATATGGCAAGTAGTCAAATGTTAATATCCACAAAGTTGGCATTTCCAGACGGAGGAGTCTGGATGGATAGTCATAGATTTTATTTTATTATTTTTTTCTCTATTTTCTAAATTTTCTATAATGAATTTGTAGTATGACAGGAAAAATATCATTTTGAAAGACACAGGAAAATATTCTGTTAAAAATACTTCATATGCTTTCAAAGAAGCTTAAACTTAACTCATTTTCCTCTTCACTGTCAAAAAAAAAGGAGTTTGTTGTTTTTGATTTGCTTTTGTGAGTTGTTGTCTTTTTAAATTGAGTCCTGCTTATTTACTCTGTCTTCATTTGTCTTCTTTTTACTTATTTTTATTAAACATGAATATTTTTTCATCTGAGGGATGCTTGACTGGTTTTCAATACCTGATTCTTCCATCAGCTGGAGCTGGTTCTTCATCTGTTTTTACAGCCTTTATTTCTGCTTTCATTTTCATGATTTCTTCAGCTGTGAGGTCTCCCTTTTTAAGAAAAACCTATGTAGCACTGTTCATTTCTTTGTCACTGTGGTCAGCATCTTTAACTGGGAGCTGAAGCTGGATTCTCTAATCTCATCTCTTCTTTTGTACACTGTGCATAACTCATAGGAAGCCAGTAACACACTGTGTTTTCAGTGCTTTGTCTGTCTGTCTCTAGAAGGCACGCTCCTCTGAGAGGTATTATGTTGCATCTCTGTATCTAGATGTGCAGAGCCTTGGTCTCTATGATGGGTCCTTCCCTCTACCTGACTTGCTCCTTAAGGTAGGACAGGATCCAAGCTTGGCAGGCCACACTTAAGACACCTGGTTCTGTTTGCTCATAGCTGGTCTGGGTAAAAGCCTTACAGTTTTGATAAAGTTTTACAAAGTATATTTTTTAGAATATGTCATTTAACTCCCTGCTAACTATACAGAGAATAACAAAATCTATTTAAATTTGAGTAGGGTAAAAACAAAAAACATTAAAAGGCACTACTGTAAGTTACAAACAAAAAGTTAAGGTTGAAAGTTTAGCCCTTGACTGACTGACCTGTTCTCACTAATTTCTCAGATCTCACCCACTGTCCTCCAGTCTGTGGCCTGCAACCTTGACTTCTCTCCCAAGTTCCAATCCACATTTGACAACAGGCCTCACTTCCCAGCAGGACTGGCTGGGACTCCTCACCATCATCTTGCCTAAATCCACACTTAAGGGTTTCTCCTTTCAATCGGTCCCTCTATTTCTAAGAAATTGGCGCTGTCCTTGTTCCTTACTGCCTCCTGGACATACCTCTTGCTTTCACTCTGTATCAGTTCCGACCTCTATTTCTCTTTTGAAATTCTGGAATTTTTTTTTATAACTTGGAGTTGTTAGAATTAAATAAGAAAATATTTAAAAAGCAAATAGCAGGGCACCTGGCACATAGGAAGTCCTCGTGTTCTAGTTACTGTCTCTGCTGTCCTTCCCCTCTCACCCCATTCACTCTTCCTCAAGCCTTATGGCCTTTTACCTGGACATCTGCTAGTTATTTTCTTGATAACCAGGTCCTCCCCCATTGATTTGAGTTTGTCAAGTTATCCATACAGCCAAACTAATCTTCTGAAAACACTGTGTCGCTCCTGTGCTTATGAACCTTCAGTGGTGAGTTGCTCCTGTGAACATTTGGGGCTGTCACATCACCTGGCTCCATGTACATTTCAGTATTTTCTCCCATACCAATCTCCGTGCCATCCGTGGGGTCTCCTTCTATACATCTCTCAAACATGCCTAGGTTCCTCACAACTACAGCTTTATTCACACTCTTCCTGCTATTCTCTCCCTCTCCTTCATTAATCAAAAGATGACACTTTAAAGCCTTTCTCTTTTGTGAGACCTGTTTGGACTACCTTAGTCTCAAACTTTATTAAATTCTGAGAGCACTTCACTAACCTAGTGCTTAACTCTTCCTGGCTTTCTTAGTTCCTCATCTTTGCACGGGCATGTGACCTATCGCCCCACCCAAACTCTAAGTCCTTGATAGGTTTCAGGTTTTCTGAGTCCTTTTGAGCACCCAACATAAAATCTTGTGAATACTAAAGTACAGTGGTTATTTTCTGATGAGCCACACCTACCTCGTGATCCATAGCCAGCTGTTAAGTCATCATTCAGTAGGAAGTTCGGTGTGAAATGAATGTATCTTCCTTCTTTTCCACATCCTCTGTATTGCAGAGTGTATGGGTCATCTCCTTGTACCCCATTCCAATCAGCCACTATGACATCTGCCTAAATTATAAGAAATGTGTTGTGGTACTCTATATTTTGACTGTGATATTGTTGGCATAAATGTATGTTAAAGCACTCTTAACTGTACACCTTAGATTTGTGCATTTTACTGTATGTAATTATGCCCTGATTTAAGAGCAGATTAAATAAAAAAGGAAGAAAAGAAATGCTTTATAGATGGAACTTAGAATGCATTCACAATTAAATATCAACTAAATCATTTGGCCCTTACAAAAACATCTACTTTTAAAGCTTAGGAAATTTCCATGGAGCTTCATTACCTCCTTTTGATCTTCCCATTTAGAGAATGGTAGGGATATTTAATCTAGAGGATTAAAATATGCTTGAAAGTCAACACTGTAAAAAGTCTGATATTATATCACTATAAAATGCAATAAAATATTTAAGGAGATTTTAAGAGCATTTACATATCATTCAGAACTGTGCTGTAAAGAGATACAGCTTTTTACAAACAACTTTTTGTGGATTATTTTATTAGGAAAGGCAGTAGGATCTGTACTTTTTCACCTTGTCCTTTCATTCCCATAACCAATTTGATTAGGAAATCAGTCATTCTAGTGAAATTATATTTCTTCTTAAGTCCTGACCATTTCAATTACAATTGCTAAAACACAACATTCAAAGTCTGAAAGTAAATACCTATTCACATAACCATCAAGAGAGCATCAATTTATATATCACTTTGTTTCTCTTGTTTTAGAAAGAAAGATAACATATTGTCCCAAACTTGCCCTTAGAAATTAAGTATGTTGTCAAGTTAAAAAAAGGGGAAGAAAGAAGTTTATTTTGCAATAATAGTTCTAATAAGACCCTAAATATATAATTTTCACTACATATGCTATGTGTGGGTGTGTGTTTATGTGCATGTACGTATGCACTTGCCACTGAGGAGAGGAAGAAGATATTTTCATTTTTATTTTCCATTTTTCCACCTTGTTCATTTTTTTTCTGATGTAATGAATCACTTTTACAATAATTAACATTTATATTTTAAAAAGCCAACAGCTTTGAAAAACAACACCTACCAAAACTGCTAACGAGGTTGTGCCATTGCATAGTCCTCATTTGGACAACACCTCACTCTTAGGCCTGGAATTTTGACCAAAAGCAAAAAAGAAAAAAAAAAAAAAGACTCCTTTGCATGGAATGGGTGATACTCAGAGGCTGTTTTGGGTTACATTAGGCCTTATAGACTATTGTAATTCAGATCTTATCTACTCTTCCTAACCTTTTCTCTTGTCCCCTTATTCCTACCTGCATCATACTGTAGATTCACAAAGACAAGAGCTACCTTGCTTGTCTTTGTGTCCTTTACAGTGCCTAGCAAGGTCCTGTTCATATTATCATTCACTCTGTGCTTGCTTAATTGACATGATGAAGTTAAAGGAAATGGCACCCAAAAGATATATGAATAGCATTCGATTTCTATTCTGTTTGCTCTTCTTTCTGTTTAGTCATATTGTTACATATGCTTTACTTATTTGTTTCTCTCCCCATCATGGAGATCAGGGGTTCTATCTTTGGCAACCTGGTTTTGATGCTGGATGTCTCCAGTACTTCTCAGTCCTACTGAAGACCAAATTGCTTAATGCAATCTCCATCAATCACATAGAGACTACATAGCTTAATGCAAACAGCACAGGTTTTGAAGTCAAACACCCATTTAAATTGTGGCTCTAATTTATTGGGTGTTTGACTTGAGACAGACTGCTTACCTTCCTAATTAGTTTCCTAATCTGTAATAATAGCAACCAATTTCAGGCTGCATGATAAATAAATACTACATGTAAATTCTTGGTACTTTCTCCCCAGTCTGTCCCAGTTCCCTTACTTACTTACCCTGTTCCCACACAAAATATTATCAAATGCTTTTATCTGGTCAGAAATCAAATGCTTTTAAGAACCTCTTTAACTTCTTCAGGACACTAGGGTACCTATTTACATTGCTATGCCATTCAGTTTCTGAGAGTAACTTCAAATGTGAGCTAAGAATTAAAATTACCTTAAGAAATTTCATACCACATAACAAAAATAAGGAAAAGGGGAAGCTGTGCCATATGTCTCTGCCATCCTGATTGGACTGTAACAAATCTCGAGCCTACTCCATTACTGATGTCCCGAGTTAAGCTCTTCTCAGTGTCTCTGCTCTGGGCCCTCCTGGCAGCTGTGATGGGCTCTTCTTCATAGTCACTCACCAAACTGATTTAACCTTTATTTATACTGTACACACCAATATGTGCTGGGTGGGCATCCCTGTGGGAAAGCACCGTGATCTCTAGTTCATGAGAGATCTTCAAGGGTAATTCATTTTTAGTTAGAAAAGAAAAGATAGCTGTTTTAGTAAGCTTTTTCACTTCTGTGACTCAAAGACCTAACCAGAACAACCGTAGAGGAGGACAAGTTTATTTGAGGGCTCACGGTTTCAGAGGCCTTAGTCCACAGAAGGCCCACTCTATTCCTTGGGGCTCTAGGTGAGGCAGAACATCATGGCAGAAGAGTGTGGCAGAGGGAAGTGGCTCACATGAAGAGCAGTCTCCACTTGGCAAATACAAATTCACTGATTGGGTTAAGACTCGTACAACCCAGTCATTCTCCTCTGAACCTTCTTGCATTTTGTCTCAGACATGAGCTTTTGGGTAACACCTCACATCAAAACCAAAACAGTAGCCATTCTTTGCCTTACTCATAAACTTCTGTCCTGCCTTCATATTTCCTCACTTCCCTAAACCAGCATCTTGGCCTTGGGCTAAAGTGAAATTCTGCTAATTTACACCATGGCATGAGAAGGCAGTCATATTTTTATATGCGTGGGTGGCTTGTGTTCCTGTCTGTACCTGTGTGTTACTGCCTCTGACAAGACGGTGAACAAAGACAGTCATCCTTGGAATTTCTTCCTTCACTGCTCATCCTCAGGATAAAACTGACTATTGGTCCTCAACCAAAAATTGCAGCAAGGGCTGGGGTTGTGGCTCAGCGGTAGAGCACTTGCCCCTCACATGTAAGGCATTGGTTTGACCCTCAGCCCCACATAAAATAAATGAATAAAATAAAGATATTGTGTCCATCTACAATTAAATGTATATATATATATATATTTTTTTTTAATTTCAGCAAGGATCCTATAAGTTATTTAATAAGCTCTAAAAACGTACTTGGGCAATGGCATTTTACTTATTTTTCCACTCCATGATTTATACTCACTTATTTTATTTCCATATTTTTAATAAAGATTTTTTATTTTTAATTGACACATAATAATCATAATATTTATGGGATACAGTTCATATATTTTGTCAATAAAACTCTGCCCGATAATATTGATATTAATGCACAACATCAACAACACAGTTTATTTTGGTATTGTATCTTTTTTTCATTCAAGTTGAGTTAAGCTCATTTAGTGAAATCCTGAATGCTTACCTTTTCATATGATTCTTGTTTTACTTTGCTATAATTATTAGCGTTCCATGTGGCAGGTATTAAAATCTGTATATTTCTGAAAAATACTCTTCTCTTTGTAGCATTGAATAGGTAAAAAGAAGCTTCAGTTATCATTTCCTATAATAAAACAAAAGACAAACGTATTTTTATCACTCATAACACCTTTATATTTTGGCTTTCTGAAGGAGTTCATGAAAGCATAGGAGCAAAAGAAAAAAAATAAAAATTTCAAATGGTTATCTGGAAGAGATCAGAGTGCAGGTCTGGACTTGCCCTCATGATTCTACTAATTTTTTGAAAGGGTTTTAAGCTTTTACTGAACAAAACTTCTCATGCCACACCTGTGGGCATGTTTGAGACCACACCTATGATGATACTATTTTCACTCGAGCAGTTCCAAAAGGGGCTTTTAAGTAATGATCCTCCCTTGCCATATTCAAGTGAAAATAGGCAATTGCTTTACAACACTCAGGTGAAAAGAGAGAATTTTTTTGCTCTTGCCCCGTACGCACTCTCACCCTTTCTATTTGAGAATTCTCATGGTCAGGATAGTATCCAACAAGATGATTTTAATAAGAACGATCATGCTGATTCATCAGTCAAGTATCCTGTCTCTTTTGCCATAATGGGTTGTTAGTTTTTAAAGTTGCTATCCCAAAACCAGTCGAGTAGAAAAAGCAAACAAACTTTGCAGTAACCAAAAAAAAAACCCACTGTGAGCTGAGACTACACAGAAGTAGGAGAACACACTGCCTTGGCCCTAATCATTATTTGTGTGTGTGTGTGTGTGAGAGTGTGTGTGTGTGTGTGCTCGCGCGCGTGCATGCTATCTTTAAGAAATGTTGCCCTCTCAGATTGGGGCTGTATCTCAGTGGCAGAGCACTTGCCTAGCATGTGTGAGGCACTAGGTGGGATCCTCAGTACCACATAAAAATAAAATAAAGGCATTCTGTCTGTGAAGAAGAAGAAGGAGGAGGCGGGGAGGGGGACGGGGAGGAGGAGGAGAAGGAGAAGAAATAATCTTGCCCTCTCTATGGCTCAAATACAAACCTGGTAGGGTTGTTAGTTCTTTAAAGAAGGCTACAGTTCTGATCTAATGTGGTCATGATATCAATTTGATAATTGCCACTCACCTTAATGTTTGTGATGAGGTTCTGATTCTCAGGTACCTGAGGATTAATTGCAATAAGTATTCCATCATACCCGTTGTCTTGAAGCTGCACTCTGGCCCCCAGGAGTAGAAGTACTGGACTTAGGGCAACCAGAAAAGTCACAAACTTCAGGCTGCCGACAGAACCTGCATTGTCCCTGTGGGTCATATCGTAGAGAAAGATCTCACTGCTTTACTCACAAGGGCCCTGCTGGGTGCATTGTATCAGGTGGTCAATGGTGAAGCAGATCCTTTCTTCCTGTACTTGAAAGTCTTAGGATGTATGATGTATCATGAAGGAGGTTCCTTGTTTGAAAAATTTGGGCTGGATCTCTCAGGGACCTGTCTCTACAAGCTCTTTTTCTCTGAGGCAATGCCACGCTTGCCTGTTCTGTGGCTGAGCTTCCTCCTGAATTGAAGTTGGGCAAGAAACTTTCCAACCCTTATCCGTTTTATATCTTCTCAGAAGGAAAAGGGAATAAGATAAAAGAAGCTTTAAAGCAGGTGGCCTGCATTGATGGGCTAGAAATCAATGTATTCAGATTGATCAATCAACTCAAAATAGAAACAGAAACCTCTAGTGATTTTCTTTCCCTTGTCCTTGACAGACTCCACTATTAATCAGCACAATATTTCCACCGTACATTCAGGTCTTTTTTTTGTTTGTTTGTTTCTTGTGAAGATTTCCTTTCCTACTTATTTTGAGGATTTAGAAATCCACCCTGCAGTCCTGTCCCTAGAGCCCTGGGTCAGGCAGTCTGGGCAAGCTCTTAGCTGATGGCTGGGTTAGGGTGTCAGATATCATCCAGGAGAGCCAAGTGGCAGGAACTTGGATGTGTGAGTGCCACAAGGCCTTTCCCCTGGCTTTGCTGCCTTTTCTCTCTGGACCAGGGAGAAGAATGGATTTCTGTCCCAGAAACTCTCTCCTGCCTCAAACTATTTCTCTAATATCCATTTATAGGATTTAGTATAAAGGTTTCACAAATATTTTATGACAGATTAATAATACCTGATAATTATATAGTGCATTGGAGTTTACACCTTAATCCATTTAAATGTCAATTCCCTGATGTAGGTTCAATTTTTATTCCCATTTTTCAAATAAAGACACTGAGTCTCAGAAAGATTCTAACAATGAGCCAATGGGGGAAGTTACTAACGCTTCCTGAGTGATAAGTTTTTACTACATCTAGTTTATAGGTGACAAAACTAAGGTTCAGAAAATCTAAAAACATGTTCAAGGTTGGGACTTTTATCCAAGTGCTAAAACTGACTCCCAATCCCCTTATTTTCACGATATCATGTTCTCTTGCAGTTACCCAGTTATCCTGCGAACCCTCTTTCTCTATTCTCTTTGTGTACGAAAACACTATACACAACAGCAACTATAGAAAAACTATCTAAAACCAAGGGAAAAGCTTAGTCACTAGATGCGGGGTCCACAGTGAGCAAATCTTGAGACCTTTGGTCCCTGTACACTCTTCTCTCCTGTGATCTCTGCTCTGAAGGTTGATGGGGAGGGAACAGTAACAGATGGGAAGGATCTGCCCCTGCTGTCAATGTGGATTTCACACTGCCACTTTCCTGCTCTCCTGCCCATCTTCAGATAAATGCCATTCTTCCTTTTCTAAAAATTGGAGTCTTCTGAATGAAGGGTTTAGTCTCCTGTCTTTTGACCTGGTAAGCATAATACAGATAGAATTTAACCATAATTTATAGTGCAAGTACTTTGCTTATTGTCTCTAATCCTCATTTTATGAAGATACAATCTCCATTTTATAGATGAGGATAGGATTTAACAGGTTCTGTAAAATGGAGAAATAAAAATATCTCCTTCATAGGTTTATTAAGATCAGTATCAGTTAATATATTCAAGTGCTTATAATGGTGTCTAGCATATAGTAAGTGACATGTGAATATTAGCTATCATTCTTATTTTAATAATAATAAGGTCAAATCAATAACAAAATAATAATATATCAAATTAATAACGATAATTTGAGCCCCCTAATTAGGTCAAATCTCCCTATTATCATACTTTCAGAGCATCTGGCATCTCTCCTTTGAAGTACATCATGGTGGCCATGTCACATTTATATTGTGTAATCAGTTGTCAGCTCCTTGCTGTAGGCAGTAGGAGAGAAGGGATGTGACTGTTTTGTGCACTCCTTCCCCAGCATCTACTTAGGTCAACTCTCAATATTTCTTGAATGAATGAATGAATGGAGTCAGCAGAAATAAATAAAAGCCAGATTACAAAGGATTTCTGGATTAGTGTGTGAAAATGCTCAAGCTGTCCTGACTGTCTTGGGTCTTGCTGTTCCCTCTGGGTGTGTTGGAGAATGGAATGTCTCTGGTCACCATGTGGCTGTCAAACTTGCTCACCCAGCAGCTCAAAGATCAGCTCAGCTGCCTTGTCTTCCAAAGCTGATTCCCCGCAAGGGTTTTTCTTCCCACTGGATGGTGTGGAAACTCTAAAGGTCTGCCTGTAACCGTGACTCATGCAGAGAAGAGCAAGCACTTCATTTCAACTTTCCTTGGCAGTTTATGTTCTCATGCCAATCTCTTGTCTTTTAACACAAAAGTATTCCCGGTTGTAAAGCAGTATGTTCAAAAATTATACTCATAAACACACTGTAAGAATATTTTTCACTCACCATCAGAATAATTTTCTTTCACCATGCACACTTGCCTAAATATTTCACTGGAGGAGGGGACAATTGAAGACAGTCATTCAGCACTTTCTCTTGTTTAACTTGTTTTTTGTCAACAGCTAAAATGGTTCCTTCAGAGTGTGAGTGTGGGGGATATTGGCTGGAAAGACCACCAAAAGTGAGCCTCTTGTCTGACTTTGCCTGGGTTAAAGCCTGAACAGGCACACCTGGACTTTGCTTAACCTGGGCTGAGTGTAGGCATGGCCTCCACTCATGTCTACCTGCATTTTGACTCCTTGGTTCTGGACCCAATCTCCATCTAGTCTGGCCACTTTACTGAACTCCACTTTTGCCATCTGTTCCTTGCAAATTTCCCAGTCACTGATTCATTTTCTGATCACGTCTTGACAATTACATTCACTTCTGAAAGTCTTTCCCATCACCTCAGTTCTGACTCACCCTTTGGAATCTACTCTGCTGTCAGCAACCAGGTCAAAAACCAGGACAGTCGAAGATCTCTTCTTATTGCTTTCTCCTGTTGCTGGGCTGACCCTATAGGAGACAAAACTAAAAAGCAGGAGAAAACTGACTTGACTAAATGATTAAAAGTCATTCCTGAGCATGTGTTCTCTTCTCATACAATTTATTCTTTCATGCAAAAAATATTTGCTAGACTATGTTTATAGATTTTATGATAAAAGAGAAATAAAATATACCTAAGTGAAAAAAATGTGAATACAATTTTCAAGGGTTTATTTCAATGTTATATAAACTCTAGGAATCTGTTCTGCTTTAATCTACTTTCAAGAAAAAAACAGTTATTCAATTTCAGTAACTGAAGAATTGAAAGCACATCTTTGTGTATTGTGTGAACACACAGTTCAGCCTGGTCTTGGAAGGCCTCATGGAGTCTGCTGATACAGAGCCACAGGCAAAATGAATAAAGCATCAGATGGGTGTCAGAGACATAAGGAGATTTGGCATCTTAAGGAGTCAAAGAAAGTTTTGCTTCCTCTTGGGATTTTGGTTCAAGAATCCCATTTAGAAGAAGAGAGTATCTGTATGGCCCACCTTAGTTTATGCAATATTTATGAAATAAATCAAAATAGAAGTGAAACATATCGTAAGAATCTTAAAATCTAAATAGAATTTTATAAGAGTCTGCTGAGGACCCAGATGGGTCTGCCCAGATTTCATCCATCTCATATCCCATTTTCTTCAATTTATACTCAATTTTAAAGCAAAGGAGTGAAGTAGATAACCACAGAAGGCTTGGGACCATTTGGTCTCTTGAGTCACCACTATGTCAATGCATGGGGATTGAGAACAAAAGTGAGATGCAATGACACATAAACGCAGAATTGAGCCAGTAAACCTAGTGGCTCCCAGAGATAACTGCTTGGAGGCCTGAGGAGAAAGGATTCCCAAACTGAACAAAACACTGAACTTGGACCCTGTGAAAACCTTCCCAGGGATAAAATCTTGGAAGCTCCCGACTTTATTAGAAATAATGATTGTGCTTTTGATTGTGCTTTTCAGTTTTCAAAGCACATCTGTGTATTTTATCTCAGAAGTCACAGGAAATTACTTTAAAGAAAAGCAAAGGTAGTTATCTTTTTTGAGGACCATTTAAATGAGGTCCATCTTGGATATGAGGCTAAGGTCTAACTCATGGATTCTTTAAAATTCATTCTGTGCATAGCACTATAGTATACCGTGTAGTGTTCAGGGCAGGAGATATTTCTTGTACTCATTTTCTGCAGGACCCTGGTCCCATCACTTTTTTTGAGGCTTGTTTTCATCATCTCTAAAACACGGAGCTTAATATACTTAATGGTATTATTTTCCCCTGCATTCCTCACCTACTTCACTATTGCTGTAACTTGGTAGATTAATTTGTGCACCCACACACCTAAATCTGCCAAAATGAATGGCACATGAGAACTGATATTATATGTCAACCCACTAAAAAAGGGGGAGAAAGTGCATGAAATAGTCCTCATTTGCAAAGCAGGCAGAAAATTAACTTGCCTCCTATAAACACATCCATAGAATAGAACATCATATGAATGTAGGATATTATCACTACAACCATCATTATTTTTCAGAGAAGATAAAAAGAGAAAGCATAAAAGTAGGGGAAATTTTAAAAAGATGAAAAATAAGGAAACTCCAAGAGCAAGTACACAGAAACAGCACCAGATCTTGACTGTCTTTCTTAGTCTCATTTCTGTTTTCTTTCTGCTCTGACTCTGGTCTCTGTACCTCTCCAAGACCCCAGGGCTTTACCACCTCTTCTGCTACCCCCAACCCCACCAAGAGGGAGTAGCAGGTACTTTTTGTTTTCTGTCCTCTACTGTTCTTAATACTTCATTTCACCCAGCCAATCCCATGAACAGGAAATCAACCAGTTGAAAGATCTGCCAACTGGGATATTAGGGCTCCCTCTTCTGTTCTTGGGATGCAGGAATCTGAGGCTATGAATCTCCAAACAAAATCCTCAGCAAACGGAACCCATGCACATGAAACTCCCTTATAAAGTACAGCAAACACAATTTGGAGTGATGATTTTCAAATGTTATTATATTTAAGAATCATCACCTGTTCAAATGCAGATTCTGACTCTGTCGATCAAGGCAAGATCAATACTCTGCATATTTACTGTTTCCATAAATTTCCAATATAAAATGTATATTAGTTT